AAACAGAGCATGTATGTATATACTATAAACAGACACTTAAAAAAAAACAAATTTATCCTTGTGGTTTTCCTATAGCAAATTACTTTTCAGTGTTAATATCTATTTAAACAGTGACCCATTTACCTGCACAATTATGTTGAGAGCACGAAAGGTACAAGTCACAGCCAGAAATGGTATCATGATCTTCCACATGATCAGCAGTGTCATGACAAACGGAGAAAAAACTGTCACAAAACAGTGCACCCAAGTTGGATCAAATGAATTGATGCTTGCAATGTTGCCAGTCCCAAAGAATGAGACAATAATGTAGAATAACTGATATACTCATTAAGGGCTAACATTTTTATGTTATCTTATACCATTCCAGATGTTAGCAAATACAACTGACCAGATCACTTCACGGAGATATTGAAACAATACTCTAATGTATAGTTTTTCAATTTTCATATTTATGGAATGATGACATAAATGTTAAAAAACATGCTGGTATAGCAGTACCTATTCAGACTTGTGTATTTCTGAATAATCAATGCTTAATTCAGATGGATCACTGGTTATCCTGCTTGAGATTTTTTGTGATTTCACTCAACCTAACTAAGCAAATTCCAGGTTAGTTTCTTGAAGGAGACTAAAGTAGCCTGTTTTCAAAATCTTTGCTGAGAATCAATATTGTAATATCAAACTAGGTGCTTAGGCTTATTGCACACATCAATGATAGAGAGAGATGATTAACAGAGAACAAAAATGTTAGCAATCACTCTAAAGGATACAAAGAAATATGCTCGTCGGAAGTCCACGGATGACAGAGAACGTTCAAAAACATTGTAAGTTGCAGCACTGAATTTGAGGTCAAGAAGCTGAAAAAGAAAACAGTAACGTTCATAACGTGCTGAAATACTTGTTTTTTCAGAGAGAAGTAATCATTACAATACACTATATTACTCTCTAGCAGCAGAACCCCAAGTGTTACTGTCAATATCAAATCCAACTGTTGGACATGACAGTCCACAAGGTCCATCCATTTCCATACATTGTATTTCCACTCAAGGAAATTATATTAATGTTATCCACCCATATCCCTCAAGGACTTTTAAGTGGCTGCTTTCCAAGAGGTTCAGCCAAAAAAATTGTGTATGCATGTCTTCTTCCCAAAACCATAAGATAAAATTTCCCATTTACATCATCCTTACTAGGCACAAAAACTTTCCAAATGTCATGATTTATGTTCTTCACAACAGAGGATCAAGACAGAGTACAGGCAGAATGATTCTTATTACGTCCATTACCTTATTCTTTGATGAGTCTGCACTGTGCAGCTCAAGAAGAAGCCAGCAGAACATGTTGAGAATAAGGGCTAGAATGAACAGAACCTCATGGCTGGCTGACAGAAGAAGGAATGAGGCAACGAGAGACATAGCAACACTGTGCAGACGTGCCAGAACCCGCTGTGAGCTCAGGAGTGGCAGGCATAAAGATATTCCTGAAATACAACAGTCGTTGTCACCATCAACAACTAAGTCTGTCCGCATGGCATTTTTTCTTGTCTCCCTGAAGACCAATGAATGGGACTGTTGTATCTAGAATTAACAAAACTCATGGACACATTATTGGTTGTATGTATTAATAGGCAAAAAGTTGGAAAGTTAACTTTGTCAAGACATAATACCATATTACAGCTTCAATAAAATTTATTTTAATAATAAGAATAGAAACAAATAAAAGTCTTTCTGACCCATACGATGGTTAAGAGAAAGAAGACTGTTTCACGTCATATTTTCTCAAACAATACCTCACATGTTCCAAGACGCGCAGTCAGAATGCATTTTATGTTAGCATAAAGATTGCATATTATAATAGAGACTGCTGCAAAGAGATTGGCCAGTGCAGGTAGGGATGCACCGAGCTACGTGAACATTAAGGTGTTAACTCACCGAGCAGTGACCAAGAAACAAACTGGTTGACCCCAGGAAGTCCTTGCTTGTTCTTAATATTTTCTGCAGTACTGACTAAGTCCCATATTGCAGTTGGCAGCATAACAAGCTGGACTGCTACAACACAGCAGGAGTGGAATCTATCCTTACTATCAACAGCACATGTCTCAAGTCTCCAGGCACAGTATGCAACTAGTATCAGGAACAGCCAACCTGATAAAGCTCTGGCAAAACAAACAAACATTACATATAATGAATAGTAGTGGCTTGTGAAGTACTCATGGCAGTGAACATGTGGACTGTGGCCTTCTGTTTTGTTTTGCCATATATTCCTGTACATGGTTACCATTGTTTCAGATGAACCTGCCACCCCCTTATTCAGGACAGACCACACAGCATCAAAACCAAGATCATAATTTACAAATTCAACAATTCTTCATGACGACAAAAATTAAATAATGAGAAATATCCATAATGTGCACTCTTTGTTTAATACTGTTATAGCCTGTCTGAAGTTACTCTCATTCACATGGAGAGCCTGAGGAAAGTCATTAAAATCTTAGCCAAGGTTTGAACCCAGCACCACCTGAATACATTACCAACATGCTAATTTTGGGGGGTAGGAAAGAATACAGAGTGTGCAAAACTGTTAACAAAGATTAAAATTTATATTCCTACTTGATAAATTCCAGTAATTAATTCACAGAGAACTTCAAGATAGTACTTACACAAGTTGTGTGTTGGGCTCCCTTCCTACAACAGGGAGCAGAGGGAACACTGCAAGGAACAAACAGGAGCTCACCCAGCCTGCAAGAAGTGGAAACTGCACTGACTGGTCTAGTGGAAAGATAACAGGCCATGCCGCCAGACCCAGCATCCCAATACTCAGAAAATAGCGGTAGAAGAAAGACACAACCTTGAAACATAAAGACATATTTGAATAAAAGTGGATTTTTACAACTGTGTAATTGTTTTCTTTCATTAGCCTCTTAAGGAGTTGTTGGCATTTACAAGAAATATTACATCTCTGGGGCAAGAATGCAGAGGGCATTAACACTTTTAATACCACTCTGGTCACAATATATTTCCGTAAACAAAACCCACTTTGTTACCGGGGATCACCATGTAATTTATTCATGGCAATTCATAATGAATTTCATCAGTTGCGAGGTTAGAGAAAGAACATCTAATTAAATCTCTCTTTGCTTATACACTTCAAAACACTCATCTAACTTATGATTAACATATATAAGGCTTGAAAGCATATATATGTATGTTTCATGTTTCCTAGGGATATCTGTTCATGTGTTAATTTATTACTTACTAATGCTTCAATAGTAGTAATACTCATGCTTTCTGGCTCCAGTCTGAGAATTATTTAACATGAAATAAGGTGACACAATTTTTCTTTTTAAATAAAAGAATATTATCTGTTGCAGTCTCATTAAATTCTGGAGAGGATTTTAATCCTTTATCAACTGTGCGTCACGTATTATGCAAGGCCCACCAGCAACCTCGCACTATAGAGTTTAAATCCCACATTCTTTTATGATAAGGGTTAAGCATCATCATGTAAGGTAAATGAACATACTGTCATTACTTACAAGTATTTCAATGCCTATAACATGGAAGATGAAGAGCATCAATAATCTTCTCAAACCCATTAAATCCCTGACATGAAACATGGATGCTCTGAGGGCAGCCCAGTGACGAGCCACGGCCCACCAGATTAACTCAGGAAGTAGACAATATATATAGAACTGACGAGACAGCATTTGTACTGTAAAGAACAAAACACAGTTTACATTAAATTAAACTCATTTTAAGTTATTTGGCAATGCTGTTTGAACTAAACAGGTCATATAGCATAGAATGAGACAGAAAGGTTATCATGAATGATAAGAAGATTAGGACTTGCTTCTAGCTTGGTAAGTTTCATATATGTCATCAGATCAGTTACATACTGTACTTTTATAGAATACAATTTTTTATTCAAACATTTTACTTGCCTCTCACATTTTCCACGTATTAATCATTCATACAACTTGTTCAGTAAAGTTAAAAACTAAACAAAGACTGAAGATTTATAAACAAAGTCTACGCAAACAAACTGTGTGTGTGCACATATTACTTTGGAATAATACATGATCTGGTGTGTAGCACGAACTAAACTATATTGTGGTATGCTACTACGTGAAAAAATTAAAAACATCACATTAAAATACTACTTCTGAAAAACAGTATAATTTTACTTACAGAAAATCAGCATCACTGTCAGAATGACTAAGAACATGAAGGTAATATTAACCCAGCGGCCCCCTGCACATATTCTAGAACGTATCAAATTCAACATTTTTTTATCCTTCGATGCTTCGTGTTGAACATCAAGAAGTAATGAGTTCTTTCTGTGAAAGTTCATGTCATCAACTAGGGACAGCAGAAGCCAGGCAATCCAACCAAGAAATGCAATAGTTATGCAACTCAGAAGAAAATGTTGATAGTAGTTTTGGTAATATTCTAATCCTAAAAGACTCAAAGATATTAGTTTTTCACTTACAGCAATCTGAAATAAAACAAAAATAAATTTAAATACATCCCTGTAATACCACCTATCCTCCTCAATGGTTTTCTCCTTCACACAACTGTGGGTTACTACCAAGGTCATCAAGTTTCCATGCCCTTTCATGACTTAAATCAAGTATCTCTGAAATGAGCAACTTAAAGGAGTATAGTTACTAATAATGTTTTATTTGTGTTTCAACAGAAATTACAATCAAAAACACAAATTTTATTAATGAAACTTAAAACTACCCTAAATATAATATTTTATTTAATTTTCCAGCATGAGCGTAAGGAAACATTTCCTGATTCTTCTGTGCCAAACAAATCAGCAATACCTCATATACTACACCATTTCTGTGACACAGGAACCATGTATGGCATAAATTGTTCCAGTTAACTGTAGCGTTAATGCACATACTGCTGAATGCTGTGGACATTTCCAACGCTTAACTTCATTTTTTGATTGCAATGTAATTTATTTTTTGAATACAACACATATCAGATGTGGGTTTCATAAACTTTTGTTCATCCTGTATTGAAATGATGCAGTCACAAGAGCAACATTTTGAAAATAGGCTGAACCACATAAAGGTAAGATGGGAACTGCGATGGAACAGGAGAGGCTTTACGGTACAAATTGTTTATCAATGCAGGGAATCCCAATATTCAATCATTACAAATACTCATTGCAATTAAATATGTCAACTGAAAATGGAAGGGCGAATTGTCCAATGCTATGGTCCAAAGAAAGAGTATTAGTTCAACTAACCACTTTTTTTTTGTCAATATTCACATGAAATTGTTTTTAGATTCCCAAGCATTAAATGTAAAATTTTAATGAATGCTTTACTTTAATTCATATCTTTCTTTTATAAATATTTAAAACATACATTTTCACTAAGAATAATTCTGAATTTCTAGAAGCACAACATATTTGATAACATAAACACAGCATTTGTTTTACTGATTAAAAACTAACAATGTAAAGAATGTACTCACCGATTCAATGTACCTTTTAGCTGAAATATGAGAATGTATTTGATCCATCAATTCAGTCTCCTTATTTTCGCTTAGCAATGAGAATTCTCTATAAATCCATGATAAAGCACCAGCTTTTGCCAGTTCTCGCTTTTTATTGTACTGTGCTGCCATTTGACGAGCATTGGAAAACATTAACTCTGATAGCTTATGTTCTGTTACACCAAGGTAATCTCGTGGAAGAATTCCCTGCAACATCAGTATATTATAAAAGTATTTCTTGGATTAAATTCCTGGCAGGAATAGGGAATTTTCTCTTCTCCAGGATCAAAGACAAGCTGATTGCATGGATTTAAGTATATTTGAATAAACAAAGAATTCGTATGTCAAGAATAGACGATGTGTTCATAAATAGGATATACATTACAACAGTTTAAGTGAATGCTAATTATATTTGATACAGTGGCTCATTAGACATTAGTCATTACAATTAACTCTGATGACAAATTAAGGACCAATCACAGCCCTTGATGTATGTGTAGTTTTGGTTTATTCAACTCTCTTACTGTGCAACTAGTGTTACAGGCTATGAAAAAACTGTCAGCTGTTTAATGTAAAGTGAATATCACATGACAGACCTGGGCCTGATTTAAGAAGTGGTAAATACTTCAAATAAAATATTTTGCACAGCAGCACCACCTGTTAACATAAGTATGAATTACATGTAACATATATCTGGTCTCAATGGACTCCAAAATGGATCATGACAAGCCGAGAAAATGTGTATCACAAGGTTTGTCAGTTCAATTACAGGAAAAGGATTAATATACAGCAGTCAAATATTTTATCACTACATTAAGAAAACTACATTTACCACAGAATTGACAGGCACAGGAACTCCAATTAGGCTTGCCATTAGTGGTGCAACATCTGCTTGATTCACATCACTGCGAGTCAAATGTCCCAACCCCCATGAGGCCGGACTGGGTGGATTGCTGCCTGTGCTCGGTCGGGGTTCTCTCACACCTGCACCCCAGGCAACCAAGGGTGTCTCTGTTTCACTCCTATCACCTGCTCCATGAGAACCTAACAAACATACCACATAATCCTCAGCACCTATATGATATTTTCACAGAATGTGTGAATGGTATAGCTTTCAAATTTCTCACAAACTTCATATTCACTGAAGAGTAAGTCTTCAAATACAAACAAAATTTCATTTCTTCCTTTTTCTCATATTCCCTAAAGCATTTATATTAACAGGACAATACACCCATAAATACAGGCTGATCACAAATGTTGTTTAAACTTTTATAATTGTATTATAAACTCTTAAAAATAATATCTATACAGCTTAAAGAGAACTCTCAAAGTTTTGATTGTCACTTATTTCATTTCAGTATCAGCCCCAATGCTGGTTTTGCACATGGCAAAATGATAAATTCAGTCCAAACACTGCAAAATATCTGCATATTGGCTGATTCACACATGTCTCAAACACAAATTCTGAGTCCACCAATATTTAGAAGTACTGGCTGTGTGTGCATGCACAAGGACAGTCTCCTGAATACACCGCCCAAGAAAAGAAATCTAACAGAAACTTACAACTGGGTACCTGCAGATTTCATTACTGTGGATAACCTACACTGGTAAAGGTCATTTGTAATCAGTTGGCACATTCTGCCACTTATCAGATTCTGTTATACTTAGAATATTCTCCAATGTATATTCTGTCAGTTTTTATACATTTATTATTCCTTACATTTGAAGTTTATGCATTACAGTGTTCTTGAAGTAATACTGTAGACTCCTGATTATCAGGGTTGGTTGGGAAATATATTTTCTCAGATAATCAAAACCCCAGATAATCTACAAAAATCAAAGAAAAATATGCAAATATAACAAATACATCAGTTTATTTACAAACATACACTATATAAATTTGTGTAGATTTACTAACAACATAAAGGATTTTTAAAATTTTATACACTACACCAACTATTTTTTAAATAAGTATGACAGTAATAATATTCTAATGTCGTACACTTCAGGTTTTAGCAGTAACTGATTTACATTAACACGTTAAATAACATGTCACTGTTGTATTTATTCCTTTTGTTTTAACTTTTATAACAGACTTTCTCAAATAATTTTTAATTTCCGTTCTAACCAGACAGACCCTGGTTAATCTGCCCTGGATAATCGGAAGTCTACTGTGACCTTCTTCCTTGAATTCTTTCGATGGTAAATTATATAAATACACACGGGACACTTACCCCAGTCTGTCATACCATGATCAGCTGTAAAAACGTATGCTGTTTTCTTGTCATAGTGATAAAACTCTTCAATAATCTCCTCAATTTTCTTAATGCCTGCATCAACAATTTTTATGTTCTCCTTGTATTCTCTGTTCCAAAGAAAAAATTATGGAAATATGCAAGAAACATTAAAAATACATATCTGATAGATACAGTTTTGAAAAAAAATTTGACTTGTGAAACCAAACAGAAAGAAGCCATTTGGAAAATGTGTGTTTATAGAAGAATATTAAAATGTCAACATCACAAAAAAATTATAAATATTACCATGATAATTTTACATGTCCATATCTAAAGTGACTGACATAAAACCTCAAGGTTCAATGTTAGTAACACAAGCATTCATTACTGAATGTACCATAGAGACAGTTCAACCCAATCCACTGTACCAAAACATACTTTCATAAGATCCACTGTAAATCACTCATTTTCAATTTGTGGTCTTCCAAGTAGCTGCAAGTATGTTTGTAGAATGTATACCCATCAAAAACACATACAAGCTCCTCATTATGTAATTTCTTCTAACCTGTGTATAGTATAATTACATTTAAATATCAACATAAAATTTAAAAATATTACAAAAGTAATTTTTATTACTTTCCAGCCGATAAATTATCTATTTTCATTTTACCAAACTTCTATACCAACAAACATAAAAATAAAGAGACCTTACAAGTTATTCAGATTAAGTGTCTACTCTAAGATAATTTCTTGCATATTTTACCAGTTTTTATTATAACAAATGAACATGAGGTTTAGTCTTAGATTACAATACTTATGAAAGCCATGATAACTCAATTGGTTAAATGAAAACATATGGACTAGACAACTATGGTTTGATTCCTGGCAGGAGAAGACATTTTTCTCTTCATCACAGTGCATACTACAACTCTGGAGAACACCAATACCCATACAGAACTGGTACTGGGGACTCATTCCATACAAACAAAGTGGTCATACTGAGACGCTAGCTCTTATTCCCATCTGCTAGCTGCCCCATGATTCTTAGGTATAGGACGTCTTAACGTTTTACCTTTACTACAATACCTACACTGAATGGGGTTTATGTGTATGACCAGCTGTATCCAGACCAAGTAGGTGCAGGAAAAATACAATTCTATCTTGATGAAGTTTTTCATTAAGAGCTGCATCTGTTTTAGCATAATTCAGAAATTCCTCCACTTTCCTAAACACCCATGTATCAAGCCTTGATGTGGATAATCTCCCACCAAAATCTTCAACTTCTGGTTCATATGTGTCTATATAAACATGATTTCCACTTGCTCCTGAAAAGAAATGTGGATGATTTAAAGATAAAGTAGTTCAGTGAAAACATTATCATCAGTACAGCAAACTGGAGAAATGGAACAATTCAGTAACATTGTGATATCAGCCAACATATTTAGGGGACAAGTGGAGAAAATTACTTTTGCAGCTGAGAAACTACTGACTATCACTTTGCACCTAGCCAGCTTAAAGTGGGTATCAAAACTTACTACACTTATCAGTACTCTATAAGCAAAACCATTTTCTTCACTGAGAATTCATGACTATCTTAATCTTAAATGTTAAGTAAATATTAACAAAATGTCATATAACATGTTACCAATATTGTTTAATTGACAATAAGCCAACAAAATGAACAGAAGATGCATAATAGATCAAAGACAGCCATGGTGCAAAGTACATTAATTGTCCACCCTTTTCAATCTTATCTAATCTACGATTCCCATGCCTAGAAAAAAAAATTAAGAAACTTAAACTAAAAGATACTTCAACCAAACAACACCAACTTCCAAATTTATTGCCTTAAGCCAGGTATATATTGCTATCTACCATGCAGTCCAACACATCCATTTTTCACTACTGTGAGAACCTTAGATCTCACATAACTATTCTTATCTTTATTATTATAATTACTTGCATTAACTGTGGAACTACACCCAAAGGCAATGCAATTTAGCATGATACATAAATAAATGGTTACTAATTTTAAATCTGCACTTACTTTAAAAGAATGACAAACCTTTAGCAAACATGGGAAGTATGTCAGGACTTCCCCAGGACCAGGTGTATCGACTTTCATTGAAAACAGAGTCAAATTCCACTGGATTTTCTTTCCAACCCTAAAACAAACAACAGAACTAAGACAGAGATAATATCCTGTTTCCACATATAGTTACTGAATGTCATACACTATTAAAGTATTTACCCATTCCTGTTTAGGGGCATATCTAACTAGGGGTGGGGAAAGGTAGGTTTAATAATTTTCTTTCAAGAAAGGTCTGGATTGTTACTGAAGATGCTCTGGACAAATACCAAATTTAATGTTCTTTTACACGTTGCATAACAATAACCAGCAACAATATGTCAATGTATACATGTCACTTAATTTCAAGTCTATTAAGAGTTACCAGACTTGTATAAAATACACCCTACTTTTACAAAAAAATTAAAAGAGCATGAAATATATTAATTTATCAGAACTATACACAACCTTTGCTACAGCAGATGGGTCTTCATACAACCCAGCAATTAATGCAACATGTCCAGGCCGTGATTCGGTTGGTACTCTGGTATGAGACACACCCCAAACTCCCCTCTCCTCAATTATAGACCTGCAACCAGACAAGTTGACAAAACTTTTGGTAATATTCATAAACAAGACAAAAATGTAAAAAGGCCTTCATTCTGTACCTTAAATGAGGGGCATTCCTTTTATTTTTTAAATCATCTGCTTCAAAGAAGAAATCGGCGCGTAACCCATCAGCCACCATGAGAACAAGTCTGCGTGCAGGAGGTTCCAGAGGGCTTGACTGTGGTGTCATTCCGTGAACTATTGGCGACTTGAAATATATGTCAAACACAGATACTAAGAACACAACATGCACTACAAAAACACTAAAAATGAGAAACATTGTTCAAAATTCCCATTAGAACAGCCTATTTTCACGATGACGAGGTTATGTAAACAAATTACAGCAAAGCAGCACCTCATCACAGCAACAAGTTATCATACAGGGAATAAGTAAGGTGCATTCATGCGAAGCTGATGTAACATAAACGTCATCATTTTCAATCTTGCGCACGAGTCAACGCTGTTTTAATTAAATTTGATACTGGAGACATTTACAAAAATGTTCAAAACCATTTCACATAGAAGCCTCTCAAACACTTGAGAAAGAAGTTCGACAGTGATCTTTAACTCACTTCAACAAACATTCTCTACAGCATTGATTATGATTGATCAGTGAGGTTAAGGCTGACGTTATGTCTTATTATGCATACGGTGACACCTTACGTTCTCCCACCACAGGAACTGATAGACGTCATGTGAGGCAAGTTCTATTTTGCAGTTGCTGGTTTACTGCGGTCAGTCACGGATACTGAAACTCTGAGTCATATCCAGCTTTTTATGGAACCCTAAGATTAAGTGCTGTGTTTCTCAAAACTCCACAAAATGAATTCGTACCATACTATCCCCTATTTTTCTGAGAAGCATTTTAATATTATCACAATAAAAGCAGCCTTTTCCCTCGGTACTCCGAACATATATGTGAGTTACATACCCTGCCTGTCTCATTTGATCACTCACTCACCCTATGGTACAGGAAATTATTTCAAAAGTTGATTATATACTTGGATTGTCAAAGAATAGACCACTTTACTTATTAAAACCGAAGGTTCATCACCGTGTTCACAAAAGCCCGCCACCGTACTTCAACCTGAGCTAGATGTATCCAGTTTGCTCCATTGATTCCTATTTCCCTAAGGTCCTTATTAATGTTATCTATCCACCTATGCCTAGGTCTTCGGAGCGGTCTCCTCCTTCAGGACTCCCAACCAATACCCTGTAAACACCATTCCCCTCCACATGTCTCACCCACCTCATCCCCCTTGATTTAATCACCCTAACAATATCAGGTGAGGAGTACATACTGTGAAGCTCATCATTATGTAATTTTCTCCATGATTCATCTTCATTACTTTTAGGTCCAAACATCCTACTCAATACTCTGTTCTTGAAGACCCTCAATCTATGTTCCTCACTCAAGTTTCACACCCATACAACATAATTGGCAAAATTACACTTTCTGATGATCTGATGACCCAAATGGAGGTTATAGTACCAGAAAGTACATAAAGGGATTGCTTACACTGCAGAAAACACCATTGTGCCACAGGACTCTTTGAAGTCTGACACAGCTTTAACCTCTCTAAGCACAACCAAAATCTTGTTTCCAGAACAGAAACTACATTTATCGAACTGCAGTATTTTGCCAACTAAAGTTCCTTTCTGTTATTCTTATATTTCTATGATAGAAATTTGTTCATGTGATTGTCTGTTTCCTTAAGATTTGCATATTCCTGGGACAGTTACTTTCTACACTTTATCTTCATTCCATCAATCTAAACAGTACATTTTTGACATAAGCCTTAACTGACAACACTATTGAATTAACTATTATTTTCTGGATAAAATGAGAACATCTACAGCTTTATGAATTCTTACTGCTGTAAACATTCTAAAATGTATTTCTTCCTTGTCTGCATTAAAGACAACAATTTTAAACAGTGGTTGTCTGCAAACTTTGGCAAAGTATGTTTGGTCATTTTTCATCCTATCCTGTATGAGGAGGTAAGTTAGTGTTTGCCACATTAAGCTTATGTAGGTATCTTGTAATTAAATTGTGAATGTAGTTACAGCAAGGATGATAGGTAGTACTTCAAAAGTATTACAGAATACTACTAAAAATTAAATTAGGTTAAACATTTCTGAATGAAAAGGAAGAAAAGTAAATTAACATAAAAATTGCTGTAAAGAACACAATCTGAAATGAAAAAGAAATACTACTCTGATTATTACTCAGCTCTTGCAGTGTCTGGTTTAGTACTTCTTATGTCAGATTAAATCCATCTTGATAATCTGCAGCTAATTTAACTAGCATGGCTTATGTTCCAGTATGTTATTCGACTCCTTTGAGAGTAAAGTTAAATTTTATTTTCTTCGGTTGATTTTTAAGTGATTCTGCAAGTGAATAATGATTATTTGATATCGCGGGATCATAAGGGTTGCTGCCCATCATCATGTATTATCTAGAACATTCTTAATTCTATTTTACATAACAAGAGAGCACAGAAAGGTGAACTTATGTCAAAATATATTAAAGGAATGATGACAAAATTACCCAAATATATTTGCTTTTCTTTAATTGTTTGTACAATTAAATGTTTGTTCCTTTCTGAGATATATTTACAAACATAGGTCTACTCAAAATTTACAGTACTATAAGAAACTCTCATGGAAATCACAAGATTCATACCACCATCCAATTCAGTCTGTTTGGAACAATACTGAAATGTGAAAAATGGAAATCATGCATAACAAGATCAACAGTCTAATAATATTAATAATGTAGTATATAATTTATATTTAATAATAATGGTAAAGCTTTTAACTTTCACTGCTGCATCCAGGAATAATATTCTACTTATCATGCATATATGAAAAGTTACTGGTACTAGGGCTTGGGGAATCTAACATTTAAAAACGTTTAAAAGATTTAGCTTTAAATCTTAATAATGTAATTGCTTTTAAAAATGAATAACTATTGAATGATACCGTGTTCTTACTCAGTCTACATTGATACAAATGTAATCTACATTATAATAAGGTTGGAGCTGACTGTTCACAGTACATCAATAAATTGATCACATTTAATTCATTAGGAATTTTAACATGTATGGAATAAAATCTTCTTGCTGTTATACGATGGAATTTAGCATCTTTATTAGTAATTGCTTATGATAACAATTATTTCTGTTTGGTTTGGTGTGATTCTAGTTCTATTTACTGCCAAGTGTTGGTAATACTGTATGACTGTGCTTATCTGTAACGATTGTTATAGTATGAGGCGGGGGAGGGATGAACTGCATGTTGCGTTTATATAGGCATTTTATTTGGATTATTTACTACTAATTTATCTCATGCACTTGTCAAGTTACTTGTGCAGAAATTCAATACAAACAGGCATGAAGGAATAGAGTAAAATAAAACGCACCAATTTGCAAATCGATACATTTTTGATCGATTTAGTGAATCGTATCTGTTGCACGGTGGCTTCGTAGCAAAGGTGATATCATTTATTACCTGATTTTAGTTATTTTACTGCCACATGTAATTTGTGGTGGCAGCATTGTATGTATGATCGACTGAGGTATTTTAATGATTTTTACCAGATAATCGATATTGAAGAATTCTTGTGGAGAATAAAATGCGCCAAATCATAACTCGATACCTATACGATCGAATGTTTCATTCTCTTTTTGCAAAGTCGCGGGTTCAATGCTGACGTACCCCTAACGTCACTCTAGCATTTGTCTAGAGCATATATTGCATAATTGCGTTTGTTGTTGCTAACTGTCACCAGATCTACACCTAGAACTGGAGAAATGTCTGAGCTGCAAGAAAACCGATAAGAGGTAAGCTTAATGTTTGCACCTAACTTCTGCAAAATGACGGTATCAGTTTTCAGATAGACGTCTTTGCATATTTTGTGACATTTCTAAATGATGATTATACATGTATTCTAGGCAATGTTAGTATTAATGGTTTGTTTTGCATAAAGTTCAATGGTTGTACTGGGCAAAGCATGCCCTACATAATGAATTCCACTAAACAGACCTTGGTAGGAATCAAGTTTCAGTGATAATTGCATAGAGTTCAAAAGAAACTGCCAAGCAGTAAGTAGTAGTATATCTTATGTACGTTTAGTGCAATTTGGCAGCTTATGATGATAATCAGCTTCTTATGCAAAGTATGAATTTGAAAATTGTGTGAATCAGTGTGTGTGTGTGTATATTATATATATATATATATATATATGTATATTAGGTATAAAGCTGGCTGTATTTATGAAACCAGTTTATGCATATGAGCCCCAAGATGGGCAGATAATTGTGGAAATAAGGCTTTGCATTGGACTTGTTTGTGTGAAATTCATGAATTTGTGATTCATTTTTTTGAATTTAAAATGTTAATTTTCTTAATTCATGCCCCCATAGGAGATCAACTGATGTTTGTGTTTGACATCAAAATATAAAAATTGAGGTTCGTAGTTTGTGTGGCCATGTTATAATTTTTGCTGTAAGGATTAAGAAGAAGAATAAAGATGAATTCTGGATCTAATTTATTTACTTACGTGTGTATACCATGAGAACATTACAGTAACAATGGCATTTGGTTTTGGAAGCTGTATTGAGTCTATAGCATTTATTTCAGAGTTGGCAACCCTGGAGTGAAGAAATGTAATCCAGCATCACCTGTCGACAAGGGCAAAGGTGATGACATTGATGGAGCAGTATTACGAAGCCCTAAGAATTAATATCAGGTTAGTTTTTAAATGTCGTATGGCACTTTTAGTAGTGTTTGAATTGAGTTCTTACTAATTTGGGGTAGTAAGTGCAACAGGAATTGAATTACATGAAGATAATTTAAGAATGCCAAGTCAAGTTACAGGGCTAACAAGCTTGACTCTATCATGGTGGATCTTTACGATTTTGTGTTTTGAGCCCTTTGTTTGACCAAGTGTCCCAGGTCACCACATATTTTCCCTTGGTAATGTTCTCCTGTTGTTAAAGACTTCTCGGAACATCAGTCACTTACTTCTTATTTGGACGAGTTCAGTGCCAAATGTTAAATTGACTGAAGACATAATATATAAAATACTAAACTTGTGAAATATTAGCTTTCACTTTAAGGAGACAATTGCAGAATAAGAACAATAAAATGATAGGAGGCTTGGACAAAGCAGAGAATGATGATGAAAATTAATAAGAACTCAAAAGCAGTGAAGTAGAGTTTTAATTTCTTTTATGGTAATATTCAGTCATCCCCCACTGGAGTCTCGTGAACATTACACACATGTGAAGGATGGTAGCCAAGCTAAAGAATACTCCATTGCTCTATTGTTGGTGTAGTAGGTGCAGCATAATATGCATAATCTGTAATGAAGTTAGTAATCTAACCTCAATATAAGGAAGGAATTAATTCAAGAAACCTGGAAATTAGGATGTTTCTCTATTTATATGCTGAAGTGCTGAAAGGAGGGGTGGTGGTGGGAGGAATTTATTTGTGTTGTTGCCCAAGATGAATATCAGTTAATGAAAAGTTTAGAAATTCTTAAAATATATTAAGTGCAGGTTGCCAAGCTATAGATACAAATTTCAGCATTGTAGGGGGAAATATTTCAGACAGTATGAAGAGGTTATGTGGGGAAAGCATATTGGTGCAAGCAGGTATGGTATTTAATGATGATGTGCACTGCATTGTGTGGAGTTGCTGCTGACAATAAGGTAAGTGGCTAGCTGGGTTAGCCATGTCCCTGCACTTTTTAATAATAGCATAGGAATTGTTAAGGTAGCAGTATGTGTTTTATAGAGATAGGGTAATTGTGGTCCCTTTGTTGAGAGTAGGCCCTAGGTGATACTTGGCCTAGCCCATCTCTTTAACTAAATCTTCATTGCTTCTTGTCTGTTTGGTCTTGTTATTCACATCTGTACTTTTACATGACCTCCAGGCCTGCACGCAGGAATGTTGGTCTGGAATTTGCAGGCACCATATGTCATGGTAAATAAGTACAAAGCGTTAATACTCTACGTAAGAAGAAAATAACTTGTAGGCTTACATTATTAAGAATTCTGTATTCTGTCCCATGAGAGTGAATATTAAATAGGCATTGGCTTACAAGTTAATTCCCTGATTTGTTATTGCCTTGAATATGTTGTGAAAAAGTGTAAGTAACAGAGTGATGAAAAAACTTCATAATGTTGAATTTTGTAAATTGTCTTGAACTGAAGTTGCCAGAAAATGTTATGGCCTGAAGTTTGCATGGCCCGAGATGATTTTATAAAAAGAATGTTTGGTAGTAGACTAGAAGTTGTGTAGAAAGTAAATGATAAAATTGAGTTGTCATGATTTTGAAGTTACTGTTCACCATGTATTGTGGTGATTAAGTGGTCTGCTAGGAGATGGGTTGGTCTTGTAGACCTGTAGCTTAGCGAAATAAATATAGCCTCCACACACACACACACAAAAATATGATGGGGAAGGGATGCCTGGAGTAGTGGAGGGAATTATAAAATTGAATGAGGTGGGAGTTTGTTAGCTCATTTAAGCCGGCTGAAATTGGAGCCAGTGGCAGGCATTTGTTAACAGTACGGAGGAGAATTTCTTTGTCCAGTAACTAGACTTATCAAGAATTGTACTGCTGCTCTTGTGTGACGTATTTTTTAGCATATAATTCTTGGATCCCTTTGTTTAAAATTTCTCGCGTTTTCAGTATGGCGATTTTTTCCGTCTCGACTCCCGGCGTTGTGTGGGCGGTGCGGGGGTGGGTTAAGGTGTTCGTGGAAAAGGTGGAAAACGATGTAAAGTGCGAGAATCGATTGGTAGGGAAGCGGCAGCCATTAATCGTTGTGACGTCGCGGGCTGCAGAGGTTGAAGAAATGGATAGGTGCATAATTATTTCTACAATCCTGTGTATTTTGATCGTATTTCGAGAATTTTATTTGATGAGGCGAACCTATGTTAATTAATGCGTCAGAATTTGTAAGAGATGGTAAGTGGGACATTGCCTGGAAGTATATTTCTGTTGAATTAAGTATGTCCTTCCTTTATGACTAGGCTACTGTGACGCCATTTTTGGCGCCATTTTAGAATGTTGACCCCTATAGAAGGGAATTGGTAAGTTAGAATGGCATTAAAAACGCAAAATGAATTTTTATTTCTCTCGTTGCACAACAGTAAGCCTATATTTACTCATTTCTCCCTGTTGTGATCACAAACTATTCAGAATGAAGAAGTTGAGTCTTACACAATATATATTACTCACAGGCAGTTGACTAGAATGGCATGCCTTTATGGATAAATTATCCAATAAAATTGCTAGTATGTGCATTTACACACACACACACTCTCTTTAAGATGGTTAC